GTGCAATATTTAATATGCTATATATTAAAATAATATATATATATATATATATATATAAATTTTGCACAAGACCAGAAATTTGTTTTAAGGAAGTAAATTATTTTGATTTCATGTTGACTTGAAGCTGTGTTTCTTTTAATATTAATTTTGCCTAGAAATGCTACAGGCTTGTAATGCTAATACGTCTGTCTTCAGTTTTGGTATTTATGCATATTCATAATCTAAGTTGATGTGTGGCCCCAAAAAGTATTTGCACATTAAGTCGCACTTAAATGTCTGAATGCCATTTCATTAGATGCAAACAACAAATTATGCTGGATCTCTTCTCAGAACTAAATTTTCACATTGACCTTTAAACAGCTGTCGTGGAAGTGCTTTTTAAGTGGCTGTATAAGGTCACACAAGTGTAAAATGATGCACTTCTCTATAGTTTAAGTGTGAAAATACTTTGTGGAGCTGTTGTAAAGTCAGACAGTGCTAATACAAGCGATAATGTGTCCATATTCAACAGGGTTTGAGTTGATTCTCTAACACTCATAGAGGAGTGCTGAACTTCCAGTTTGATGAAAGAACAAAAAACGACAGTCCAGCATTCAGGATAAAAGATAATGAGAATCCATATTAAGTCTTGAAAAGCAACATTAATCTCTCATAGTGGAATGTTTCTTCTTCTGAGATCTGCTTTAATGAGAGAGGATAAGGCATGTACCGATCTATTATCACCTTTCATGTACCCATCACATCAGCCTACATCAGATCCAAATGCCTTCAACTCACCGCCTCTTCTGTATAGTCTCAGTCTCAGACGGCACACCCTTAGACCGCCCATAGACCGCTAACCCGCTCACTCTGTCTAATCCATCCTGCAGACAAAACCGTAAAAGGACTTTCTTGATCTGGCGAGCTCTACTTTCTCGATCTGATCGGCTAGCTTTATGAAACTTTCAGGAGCGAGTTTGAAAAGTCAAGTCTGCCTGGAAACAAAGTTGTTTACACTTGGCGCCAGATTGAAACTTGAAGCATTTGATGCTAAAATAAGTATTGCCCATTTTTTTTCCAGGTTAGTAGCATTAGAAAAGATGTTCAAAGTTTTGCCTGGGGCATTGAAAACAAAGTAAACTAGATGTCCATAAGCAGACCTGAAAATGTTACCTTTCCGAATTATGTCTGTGAAAAGTACTTATTTGAAGTTTTAAATACTTGGATGATCAGAAAACCGTACATGTATTCTGGTATTTGTTTGTGGAGACTACCATGGCATAATTTAAAATAAGTACTTAAAATACATTTTTAATTTAACATTTTTAATTTAAATTAAAAATAATTTAAATGAAATTAAAAATAAATTTTTTAATTTAAAATAAATATTTTACATGAATTTAACTTTCTTTTCTAAATGATGTTGGTGAAAATTGCGTATTTGAAGTTTTAAATTAATTTAAAATAAATACTTCAAATATTTTTTTGAATTTAAATAAAAAATACTTATAAGTTTAAGTTAAAATTTTAGTTTTAATTTTAAATTCAAGTACTTAAAAAAATTTTCAATTAAAAAAATATATTAAATATTAAAATTATAATTTAAAACTAAAATTGTTATTATTTGTAGAGACTGTCATGCCATAATTTAAGTAAGGCATAATTAACAGACACCCAATGAATTACTTGAAAAATTATACAATAATGCAATAAAACAGCCCCATGGTATACATTTCAATAATTTGTCATACTAAATTTCATAGGGTATATGTCGAACGTCACCTGACCAAACCCGGAAAACAGGTCTCATCGCTTCCGCTTGTCGGAGAACGTGCTAACAGCCGTAATAAATAATAGCGATATCTATGGACTTTTAAGATAATCAGTTAAACTAGCTAGCTGTTTTTTTTGTTGACGTTTTATTACATTTTTATATCTAAATGTTAGTGAAAAGAATAAAAATAAAAACTTTTAGATATCAGTTCGCATATGTGATGGACATTGGTTATGATAATCTTTGGTATCTACTTTGAAGGCATCTTGAGTAAAACTGCTTCATATTTAACGACCCCTTTAAAATACTTTTATTTGCTACATTTTGTTCTTGTGGCATATCTATTTCAGATCAATTATTCCTAAATGGCATGTAGAGCCACTTTAAATGTTAGACAAATAGTCCTCTTCCTGTCAAAATGGATGATTCTTAACCAAAATAAGCTGCGGTGTGGATGGGACTTTTTGCTGTTTAGTCAAAAAAATGTTGTTTACGAGTGACTAACCTCTGCTTCGCAAACATGTTGCATTACCTGCATTTTAAGCAGCTGTGCGGCGCAGATCTGGACCCTCGTGTGGCTGAAGCTCATTCGTTATTTTCTCCTTGCATGAGCTGTCGAGAGAGTCCTGTGATAAAGCATGAGTTTGCCTAAAATAGCTTTTTAGGGCAGAAATGCCGACATATAAGGCAATTTGCAGCTTAGGGAACATGGACTGTCAGCACACATTAATAGATATGAAGCTGAAGCTTTCAGAAATTTTAGTAATAGATGTTCCGCTGCTTTGAAGCATCTGAACATGCAAATGCACCTGCCTTCTGCTGGATTCGTAATGAACGAAACGTGCACTGCTACATGTGCATTTAAAATTACATTTAGATAATCAAATATGCATAATGTCATTTACAAATCGGGTAACTTAATGAGATTTTCCTGACCCTTTGAACTCTAGTTATCGGCAGTGGTGGAAAGAGTACTGAAAAAATATACTCAAGTAAAAGTACCATTACCTTCCAAAAAATGTAGTGTGAGTAGAGTAAAAGTACTTGTCCAAAAAAACTACTTGAGTAAGAGTAAAAAAAGTAGCCTATTTAAAAGTACTTATGAGTATTTATCATTTAAAAGTCAGAATTGCGAAAATTTAGTTATTTTTTTCCGCCATAAAAAGAGGTAAGTGTGACAATTTTGACTTAGAATTGCTGTTGATATCTTCCAATTCTTACTTTATTTTCTCAGAACTGTCAAACAGAAGTCCAAATTGTGAGATAATAGGTCACAATTACCTCTTTTTTTTTATCCCATGGCAGAAACAATTTTCCATCGATTTCAGAGCTTTGGTGCAGGGAATCATTTAAAGTGATAGTTTACCCAAAAAAGATTTTTTTTGTCATTATTTATTCAGCTGCATGTCGTTTCAAACCAATTTGACTTTCTTCTTACTGCATGACACATAATAAGTTATTTTGAACAATGTTTCAACTGTGTCAGTGTTTCAACTCATCAAAACAACATTGGACCCCATTGACTTTCATTGTATGGACAAAGACGTGTTCCAATATCTTATACTGTGTTCACCAGAAGTCATACAGGTTTAGATCCACATCAGGGTAAATAAATGAATACGTCTGTTTTTCATGCAAAGCTGTCCTATCTGCACTATGGACTTGCAGTGTTTGCAATACTTGCAATATTGCCCTGTTGAGCAGCTTGACAGCTCACTATGAGTGATTGTTTCATGTAAAAGAGCTTCCGAAAATCCTTCTTTTGTGTTCATTGGAAAAAACAATTACATATGGGTTTGGAATGACATGAGGTGAATAATAAATAATGAAATGATTGCATTAAACTATTTGAATGCATTTGTTGCACACCAAATGAGTGTGCAATATGCTGCATTAGCTGATGTCCTGCTGATGTTTGTTTTAAATATAAAATACCCTTCATTTGTTACGTATCCGGTCCATGAACTGCCGTCTGCTAGCCATCAGAGGTCACCCTTTCCATTTTCATTGACTCTCGCACTACACACTGTTGCATATCACCCCGGACTACATATCCCATCATTCATTGCACTGATTGCACACAGCACTGATTGCACACAGCTGTTTCATATCACTCACTCACTATTTAACACTCACTCGGACGTCTCGTCAGCCCCGTAACATCATTAGGTACAGTAATTGCATTTTGGAGTGTTTTGTTAAGACGCTTTCCTCTTATCCTGCATATGAAGCTAATTAGATTAATTATCTGACACTGTCTCTGTTTTCAAGCCAGTCTTGGGCCGCATAATTAAGTGTTGATTTTATTTTTGTTTTTGGAAAATAAATGCTTTCAAAACCCATATAATACTCATTAAAACAATAATTTTGTTCCACAGAACACAACCAGCAATTAGCGTGATCAACCTGATGTACAATAATTGCTCTTATCGCGGTTTATTGTTTTGCTGGCAGACAAAAATCCAATCCAGTGTTGCCGAAGCATGAAAAAAAGACACCAAAATTTATTTTGGAGGAGCTTCGCCTTCGCTGTGTGATGCTCATTATCCGTCATAATCATAATGGCAATGATTCTGTTTTGCAAAACAGACCTTTGCCTTGCAGCTAACAGTCGGACGACCCCTTCCTGCTCTGTTTTCTTTGTAAAGATCTGTAAGAGTTTCATAGCAGCTTGACAGAAAAAATAAATGCCTTCAATTCACAAACATTTTGGATTTCACTCTTGTTCTGTAAAATTATAGATAATATTTGTTTATATTGTGTGTTTGTTTGGCCGACAGCTGAGGACACATGTGGCGGGACCTTCCGCGGGTCCAGTGGCACCATCTCCAGTCCAGACTTTCAGAAGGACTATCAGAGCAGTGGCGAGTGCACGTGGACCATCCTGGCTGATCCAGGAGACACCATCTCACTGGTCTTCACTGAATTCCAGATGGACAGCAAACTCGACTCTTTAGAAGTTGAGGGATCCGATCCACCAACAATATGGTGAGTATGATACTGAATTATGTTGCGTCTCACTGGAATTCTTTATTCTGCATTCTGTGGTCAGTTATTGTTGCAGGGTTCCTGCGGGTTTTAAAAAGGTCTTGAATCATAGCAGAAAGTCTCAAATTCATCAAGTCGTGGCATTAACTCTTTCCCCGCCATTGACGAGTTATCTCGTCTTTTACAAGAAAACGCTTCCCCCGCCAAAGACGAGTTTTTACGGCTTTTCGTGTTTTCACTGTTATACACTCAGAGGCGCTATTACGCATCTTCTGAACAAGTACAAAACCTCCCGAACAAAAAAACACGTGAACAGGATGGAGAAACTAGCGATCTCTTATGTAAACAGATGCATATGAAAAATAATGCGATCATCAGCAATAGACCGCATATAAATGAAAACTGCATAATGTTACAGAGTAAAATGTTGGTCCAGGAAGTGGTATATGTCTGTGCAAGCTTTGGAAGTATTGATGGAAGCGATTTACTGGATTTATACTTTGATAATCGTACTGAATATTATCCAGATGTAGTTTTTGATAAAAATGTGATTTTCTCACCTTTTTGCTCAAAATTATGCATTTTTTATGAAACCTACATATATTCAAGTGTTGATAAAAAAAGAATGCTTTAAGCTAGAATAAAACTGATTCATATGTATATTCATACAGCAAGATATACTGGAGGCCATCCGATTTTAGTGAAAATCGTCAAAATCACTGGCGGTGGCTGGCAACTTTTTTCAAAAATGCTGGCGGGGAAAGAGTTAAATGGTGCATTGCAATGTATATCTTGCTCAGTATTTTTGTCTTGTTTTCCAATACAAATATCTAAACATCCTGAAAACGAGATGCATTTACTTGAGATGCAAATGTAAAATGTATTGAACAAAATTAATTTAGTTTTTGCTTAAAAAAAAGAGCTAGTATCTGTGGGTTATTAATATTTTGTTCTTGTTTTAGTCATAAGCTCACTTTATTTTCATCAATTTTGACCATAAATAAGACTTGTTATTTTGCTTTTCAAGTAAATGTATCTTGGTTTAAGAATCTTTAGACCTTTGCACTGGAAAACAAGACAAATATACTGAAAAAGAACAGCAGTTTTTTGCAGTGTGTTCAGAAGGTGCAGTAACAATTATTTCCATATTCTAGTGGTTGAGAAGCAGAGCTATTCAATCCTCAGAGGGTTAGTTCACCCAAAAATGAAAATTCTGTCATTAATTACTCACCCTCATGTCGTTTCAAACCCATAAGACCTTCGTTCATCTTCGGAACACACATTAAGATATTTTTGATGGAATCTGAGAGCTGTCTGACCCTGCATAGACAGCAATACAACTGAAATGTTCCCAAGTCCAGAAACGTAGCAAGGAGATCTGTAAAATAACCCATGTGACATCAGTTTTATTCAACAATTCGTCTCCTCCACATCACCCTGTAGAGCCATTTTGGAGAGTATCAGCTGGACGTAAACAGTGTATGATGTTCTGTGTCAGCTGTGTCACACGGATACGTTTTCCACGTTGTTTACG